GTTTTAACCACTGTCCCCCAATAGTTTATTTTTTGGGATAGGCATGGAAACATGCTGAGCTTTGGTGAGGATGAGTTGATGTTTTTCCTCCAAAGGCATTGCTCCTTTGCTGAACCTTCCTCCATCTCTTAGGAGTCTGTTTTCCAAAATCGGATCCAGCTTGTATATCGAACTGTGTCCCTCTACAGATAACAGAGAAGAAATTTCATCCTGAAACCTTTGCTGCTGACAATATCGAATGATAGCCAGCTCTGCTCCCAGTAGGCCCTTCGTCATAAAGATGTTATTGTGATTGTGGCCTTCAATCTTTCTACTTGACCAGCTTGTGCATTTCCAGAGGCCTTCAAATCCTTTCTCCAACGACTGAGCTCCAATAGAATTGTTTTCAGCCTGAGAAACCAGGCCACTGACACTTTGAACCTCTTCCAGTTTGAAAAGTAAACCATGAGATGGTCCGTGGCATTAAGTGATTTCTCAGACTTTCAAAGAAAACTGGGACCACCAAGCCAACTGTGGTTCCTTCAGTCCTTTGGAAGCAGCATTGCCTATGTCTTTAGAGCCAATGTACCTGGGAAGGTCTTAAAACTTCTCTTATGACTATGATCCCATTTGGCACAAATATGCAGGAACGCTTCTCCTGATTATAATGTACTTCTAAACTGAAGTTGTTCTCGGGAGTTCACGGTTAGGAACCAATAGCAAGACCACAGGAGACAGAGTCCGGTATAACAGATTTCATTTTGCCAGAATAGAGGACAGGAAGGTGTGGAGCCCGTGGTCCGACACCGGAGGGCAGGCAGATCGACGGTGTGAGTCCTGTGGCTCGACACCGGAGGGTAGGCAGCTCGACGGTGTGATGTTCCATGGCTCGACACCGGAGGGTAGGCAGATCGACGGTGTGATGTCCCGTGGCTCGACACCGGAGAGTATGCAGATCGACCAGTACTCAAGGCAGAATATAATGTGAAGTCCGTTGGAACACAACGGAGGGCACGGGGGATTCCCGGACCGGCGGACACCGGAGGCAGGCGCTCGAGACAAAAGTTGATACGGGGTTGAAGCGGGTGAAAGACGGTACGAACTGACAACCCCAGACTGCAGGACCAGAGTTGATATAGTGCCAGGGGAATGGTTAGTGGGATCTGAGTCTGGTGTGTCAGCCTGCGGGAGGTAATCAGCTGGAGTGTCCGCAGTTGTGTACTAATCAGGGGTGTGGCCATGGGAGGTGTCTGGAGGCAGAGTACAATCACAGAGCACATGGCACACAATAACAAACAGGGGAATGACAGAACACATGAGGAGAGGAGATCAGGGGAATCAGAAGTAACACACAACGGGTCAGAGAGGGATCCTGGATCCTGACAGAAGTACTGTCGGTCCAAAACAAAGATTCATCAAACTGAATTCATCACTGCCATGTTAAAACTCCCTGATGCTGTTAAACCAAGGTAGCTACAACTACTATGTTCAATGGTTATTTATGGTAAATTGGTATTCGTTCTCCATGATATTAGTGTTTTTCATATTGACTACCAGGGCCACTTGTGACAGAACTTCTCTGCTATGTCCAGCTGTTGTTGTCGTCCTTGTTCAGTAGGAGACAATAGAAGCAGGTCGTCAGCATTAAACAGACTCTTCACCTCTCTATCGCCTATCTAACAGCAAGTTCATTAATATCCACATGAAATAAAGTCAACCCGAACAACACCTCTTCTCTGGGTGAAGAATTCAGTTTGTTTGTCTCCAATTTTAAAACACTCTTATTTTCTAAATACATTGATTTAACCAGATCATACATTTTGCCTCCTATACCACAGTGTAATAATAATAATAATACATTTTATTTATATAGCGCTTTAAAAGGCACTCAAAGACACTTTACATGGTAAAAACAGAAACAATAAAGCATTTATAATAATAACAAAATCTACGACATAACAGTAAGAAAGAAAACATACATGACTGACTTTAGAGGTTAAAAGCAGATTTGAATAGGTGAGTTTTAAGTGCAGTTTTGAAAGTGGCGAGTGATGGAGAATGTCTGAGGTGTTGGGGCAGGGAGTTCCAGAGGGAGGGGGCAGCAACGGAGAAGGCCCTGTCCCCCCTGGTCCGATGCTTGGACAGAGTAGGGGGGGTAAGGAGGTTGGCGTCGGTGGATCTGAGGTTGCGGTTGGGAGTGTGACGGTGCAGGAGGTCTGAAAGGTATGAAGGGGCGAGGTTGTGGAGGGCTTTATAAGTGATGAGGAGAATCTTGAACTGGATTCTTTGCTGTATGGGGAGCCAGTGGAGGTTTTGAAGGACTGGGGTGATGTGGTCTCTGGTGCGGGAGTGGGAGAGCAGACGGGCAGCTGAGTTCTGGATGTATTGTAGTTTATTGATGATTTTGAAGAAGTCTGTAGTACAGCCCTTCATGCCAAATAGAGTGGAAGGGGTTCATGTCAGGGATTACATAATCTTCTACAGTAGACCCAAGAGCTGTGAAGTAAGTGAATCTCCCCAAAGAGTGTCCTCTGAACCGACTATTAAGCTCCCTGCTGCTTTGATTTACTTCAGGAGGAAGGTTGTTCTGATGTGTAACGGTTGATGTAGTAAACAGCACTAAACACAAGGTGGTTGATGATATCAAGTTCAATTCCTGTTCGTCCATTCAGATCTCCAGTTAGAAGCACATTTACCTGGAAATAGGCGATTTCTGAATGAAGGGTTTCAAAAACATCTTCAAAACAAAGAGAATCTCCTGAGGTAAATTTGTGATTTTGGGCTGTACAAAATAAATTGAATTGAATATAAACAGCACAGAGATATAGATTCCTATCAGTTATGCCCAGGGTTTGATCTAACCTTAATCAAATTTGTGATTTAGCCTGTTTTACTGGTGAGATCGGACAGCAAAGATCTCTCCGCTCAAAGGTTGAGAAGTTGAGGTTGCCTCCTCTAGTATTGTTTCATCGTGGGGGGGTACTTTCTGGTACTGCTGCTACAGATCCGATTACACTGGATCTTCAGAATCAGAGTTGTCTTTCCTAAACATGTTCTGTGGTTTATTTATGATACTAATAGTGCATTAACATTGTATTAATACTGTGTTAACAGTGTAATAACATGTGTACTGTAGGTGTATATGTGGAGGACATGGTGGACAGCAGCACTAAGAAGTTGTATGCTGGCCTGCTGGCGGTTGGAGATGAGATCCTGGAGGTGAATGGGGAGAAGGTAGCCTGTCTCAGTCTGGATAAGGTGACCCATCTGCTGACCCAGAGCACCTCTGCCACCATCCGGGTGCTCCGACACCGGCAGGAGCCTCTACAGTGACCACAATACTGCCTGACTGTAAATACAAACACCACAATAACCACAACACTGAGCGTCGTCACATGACCTTCCATCACCTGATCACCTGGTCCAACCAAAATTTAAACATGTCTTCAACAAAGGTAACCGGATTGAAAGATTAACTTCCCTCCAACTTCCACAAACACTGCAACAAAGTGCTGAGCTGCTTCTAAAAGGGTCAGACCAGACTATCTGCTGAGGAGACTCAGGTCTTTTGGAGTGCAGGGAGCTCTCCTGAGGACCTTCTTCGACTCTGTGGTCGCATCAGCCATCTTCTATGGAGTGGTCTGTTGGGGCAGCAGCATCTCGATAGCTGACAGGAACAGACTCAACAAACTCATCAAGAAGGCAGCGGTGTGCTAGGGTGTCCACTGGATACGGTGGAGGTGGTGGGAGACAGGAGGGTGATGGCTAAGCTATCATCCCTGATGAACAACACCTCCCACCCCATGCAGGACTCCCTGGGAGCTCTGTGCAGCTCCTTCAGCCACCGGCTGGTTCACCCCCGGCGTGTGAAGGAGAGGTACTGCAGGTCCTTCCTTCCTGCTGCTGTCAGGCTGCACAGCCAGCTGTGGTCCCAGTAGACCACACAACACTAACAACACTAAAAATTGGTGCAATGATTACACTGTGCAATACAAAAAAATGAAAATACTCTGTCTGTATATATAATTTTTTGATTTTTAGTTATATTTAGTTATTGGGTATTTTTGTACTTGTTTTACTTAGTTTATATTCTTTACTGTTTATTACTTCTTTATAGTACTGTTGCTCTTGTTTTTTACTCTGTATCTTGTGTGCACTTTGCTGCTGTGATCCTGTAAATGTCCCCACTGCGGGACTAATAAAGGATTATCTTATTTTATCAGTTCAGGTCTTCAGGTAGATCAGTTCAGGTCTACATGTAGATCAGTTCAGGTCTACAGGTAGATCAGTTTAGGTCTACAGGTGGATCAGTTTAGATCTACAGGTAGATCAGTTTAGGTCTACAGGTAGATCAGTTCAGGTCTACAGGTAGATCAGTTCAGGGCTATTCTATAGTATAAAATTCCAACAGGAAGTCGACCAGTTTCAATTTTGTGTGAATTGATTGAAAGTTATTATATATTATGCTTTGTTTTATAATAATTATATAATATAATATAAGGGGTTCTCTGTATATTTAAATTATATTTTCATGTATTTGTTTGTATTAAAGTTGGCCTGTATTTGTTTACATGTATTGATATCTGGAAGAGATAAGCATTGTCATTATTTTATTAGTAGAATATTAACTTCACTCAAATTCCCTGAAAAAAACCTTCAGAACACAAACCAAACTATAAAGTATTTCAGAATGACAACAAAGATACAAAAGCTACTAGATAATAATTCAATCCCATCCCTTCATTTATAAGTATTTACAGGCAGCATATGAACAATTAATAATATATTCATAATACACTTAATGTATTTGTGTACAGATTTAAAGACATCTTTAAGGCCCTATTACAACCCCATTTCTATGAAACATCAGTAACTCTTAAATCTGCTTACAAATACAATTTGTTATATTATGTTATATTATAAAGTATCTATTATTTATAAACTACTGATAAATGATAAATGTACATGAAAACATTTCTTTATTTCAAACAGGCAGCAAACATTTTAAAGATCAGAGTCTGTTGTTATTTTCTGCATCAGTTTATTGAAACAAAATTATCCACAAAAAATGAAATAATAAAGACAGACAGATGTTTTCATTTACCAATCAATAACAATTGAACAATAACAGTTTAACTTCAAACTAGATGTCTTTCATTCAGCAGATATTCAGTCATTGATCTCTTCTGCCGGTCTGATTCAGGATGTAACAACAAAATACAGAATGGTTATTATTATCTTTATTATTATTGTTAATTTAGTATAGTTCTAAAAAACATGGATGGTTGTGTTTCCAAATTAGTAGCATCAGATGAACCTGAAAAACGTTCTGCTTCATTTGTGGAAATCTGTCAAGTCAAATTAATACAAATAATTCATAATCAAATATGAAATCTAAGGAAATATAGAAAATACTGAATTATGAAAATCACAAGATGGATTCATGAAGAGTTAAAACAGATTCAAATGAATTTGAGATTAAGAGCCACAGGTAAGTGTGTTTATAATCTCTATTTGAGAGTATCTGTATCTAAATTATATTTTCAGAGTTCTGAACACTGTGGTTTTATTTCATTAAAATATTAACAGGAAACAGACATGAGATTTCACCGTCACGCGTACCGTAAATCTGATGGTGTGATTGTCTGCTTTGTTCTTCACCTATTATTTGATTACAACCAATTTATATCAAACAGGAAGTTACCTGCTCGCTAACCTTCACATGAAAAGCCTTCCAGAGGTTCATCTTAGAAAAGCTTTTTTTGTGAAGCATCAAGTGTGTGGTTTAACATTTAAACAGTAGAAAAATCCACTCAATAAACTGCAGAATGTGCTGATCGATCGGTTCAGCAAACAAAAAACTAAAAGTAAGATACAAACATCATAAAAAGATTCAGTCAGTAAAACAAAAACACACAAAATGTAAACACAAACAGGAAGTTTTAGTGTTTTTACATTGTTTTCCAACAAACTCCAACCTCAGACTAATCAAAAAGAGTTAAACTGAAGTTTAACCAGGATTAGAGTGACTTAATAAAGGATTAAACCTGATATAAACTGTATTTAAACTAGGAGTAAACCTGTGTTAAACTGGACTTAAACCAGGATTAAATCAGAATTAAACTGATACATAGAACATCGAGTTAAAAATAGAATTCAAGTTTAGAGTTAAACTGGGTGTAAATGGAGAAAAGATTAAGTTAGAATTGAAAAAATTAAACACTTCTGCTGAAACAGAGTCAATCTCTTGTCTGTGCGAGATCAGAGTCTGGAGTGTTTTAATCTTCAGGTGTTTAGGAAGTACAGCATACAACTGGATAAATGAGACTTGGATTATACTGCACAACTTGTGTGATCTTTTTTTAACGGATGTTTTGACATAGTTTTCCTATTGTTAAACTTTAATCCATCAAGAACTTTTTCAGTTTTTTGGTTCTTTATTCACCGTGGAGGCATGCGAGGAAAAGATGATTTTCCTCAAGAATTCAGGACATCACAGGGTGAGTAACTGATACACAAATGGTCATTATGCGGGTGAAGTATTTCTTTAAATTGGACATTTAAACTCGGATTAAAGTAGAGTTAAACTGAAGTAAAATTGGAGTTAAACTAGAGTTAAACTAGAGTTAAAGTGAAGTTAAAGTGAAATTAAATTACAGTTAAAGTGGAGTTGAACTAGTGTTAAACTAGAGTTAAAGTGGAGTTAAACTAGAGTTAAAGTGGAGTTAAACTAGAGTCAGTGAAGTTAAAGTGAAATTAAATTACAGTTAAAGTAGAGTTGAACTAAAGTTAAACTAGAGTTAAAGTGGAGTTAAACTAGAGTTAAACTAGAGTTACCTTTAGTAACTCTAGTTTATCCAGGATTGGAGTGACTTAATAAAGGATTAAACCTGATATAAACTGTATTTAAACTGAAGTTACTAAACTCAGAGTCGAACTGGGATTAAACTGTTATGGTTACTTTCAGCCCTTTAAATACAACAAACATGAAACATTAAAACACATCAAACATGGTTACACCTGCTTTGACCTTTGACCTCTGCGATGATTTTAACAGTCAAACACTCAAAGAACCAAAGTGCCTTTTCTGTCCAACTCAGCAGGAAGAGAACGTCCAGTAGAGTCCGGAAGAGTCCAGTAGAATCCAGAAGAGTCCAGTAGAGTCCAAGAAAGTCCTGCAAAGTCTTGTACACAGAGTGGAGTCCAGTAACGTCTGTCTGTGAGTTTAGTAGAGTCATAAAAGTCGAGTGGAGTCCAGTATAGTTCATAAAAGCCCAGAAGAGTTTAAGTTCAGTAGAGTTCACTAAAGTCTGTAAGGGTGAAATTAAGTTCAGCAGAGTCCAGGATAGTCCAGTAAAGTTCAGAAGAGCTCAGTAGACACAGATTTAAGACCGGAGGAGGCATCAATCACAGGATGAACAGGAGGAGGACGACCACAAAGAGGATTGTGAGCAATATGCCAATAGCACACCACTGACGACGATCTGTGGAAATAAAGACTGTTGATGAATATCAACTAATTATCAACTAAGCATTACTCATATAATTTAAACCACTGACCACAATGTGTAAAGACACAATCTGCAGAAACAAAAAGTGATAAGAACTATCCACTAAGCTACAAGTATTAGTAACTAATTACTAACTCATTTATTGTTCTATTGTATTGTTTTCTCTCCAGCAGAAACACTGAGGGTGACATCATGTGTTGCTAGAAACTTTACCGCTGGTCATGTGAGACACTTTGGCCAGTTTCTTCATGACGTTGTCCAGTCTAGACTGGGTGGTGTCCACCTCATGAGTGAAGTCATCCAACATCCTGCAGGAAAAACACAGAGACTCAACAAGTGTGGCCAGGAACCAATCAAATCCAACCCTGCATAGGCCTGCCAGTGAGCAACTTCCTTTTATAAATTCCAAATCAACTTCTCCCTCACCCCCTGTTGTTGTCCCCCACCCCCTGTTGTTGTCCCCCACCCTCTGATGTTGTCCCCCACCCCCTGTTGTTGTCCCCCACCCCCTGTTGTTGTCCCTCACCCCCTGTTCATGTTGTCCCCCACCCTCTGATGTTGTCCCTCACCCCCTGATGTTGTCCCTCACTCCCTGTTCATGTTGTCCCTCACTCCCTGTTCATGTTGTCCCCCACGTCCTGATGTTGTCCCCCACCTCCTGATGTTGTCCCTCACCTCCTGTTGTTGTCCCTCACCCCCTGTTGTTGTCTCCCACCCCCTGTTGTTGTCTCCC